AAAATAGACCAGACGGCGGAACAACCAAACAACCCAACAACAGGTCACTATGATGTGTGCTGACCACCAGGGGACATGTGCAGAACATGGCGGGCATTGGCCACAGCGGGATGGTGAAACAGGTGAGTAGGGGCGCCAGACCAAGGCAGGGCACCAGTGGCTGTCATCAGGGTGAGCTTCTGGTGATTACTGAAAATTCTTTGCTCTGCATGCATGGTCACACGCAGTGCTTGCACCTGCTGCCAGTGCCTGGTGCCGGTCCTGATCACTTGGAGCCATCAGTGGGTGTGAGTGACAGCTGCCAGCCCTGATGGCCCCTGAGGGCTTCTCCAACTCCCCCTGCTCCTGATGGGCAATCAAGGACCGCAGTTGCCGCTCGCACCTGCTGATGGCACTGGCCTTGCTTGCACCCACGGCTGGTGATGCCCCACTCACACCTGCTGCTGGCGCCAAATCCGCTGCTCACACCCACTGCTGATGCTAGCACCACCTGCACCTGCAGCCGGCACTGGAGCCGCCGCTCGCACCCACTGAGGGCATCCGGTGCCAGTCCCGATCGCTTGGCACTGTCAGCGGATGCAGGTGGCAGCTGCTGGCCCCAACCGCCCCTGAGGCCTTCTCCACCTCCCCCTGCTCTGAGGGGCGATTGGGACATCAGCTGCCACTTCCACCCGCTGACGGTGCTGGCCCTGCTCGCACCTGCTGCTGGCGCCGGCCCCAATCACTCCATGCTGTCAGCGGGTGCGAGTGGGGCTGGCACCGTCACCATGTGGGAGCAGCGGTGGTGGGAGTGGGGTTGATGGCAGATATGGGACTGGGGGTGATGGCAGGAGGGGGTGGGTGGGGGTGCGGAGGATGGGCCGAGACCCACCCCTGTACCTACCACAGCCTTGGGGCCCATAGTTCCTTTCAAGGTGCACCAATTCGTGCACTGGGCCCCTAGTATCAAAATAACAACACAGTTATCTCTATGAGGTGGGATTACAAAGGTTTTTACTTTAAACTTCTCTAAATTCTTTTCAAATTATCTACCATTTATTCATTCATTCAACCATAGGTATTGAGCATTTACTCTGTGCTAGAGATATATGAATGATCAAAACAAAAAACTATCCTATCTAATAAAAGATAAAAAGGGTAATTGACTGTATCTTCGCTACGCTTCCCATTGGGTAATCAGGGTGATAGGCAAATTAACTGCCAACCAAGATGGCGGCCGGCAGCCACACAGCTGAAGCAAGCAGGAGGCTTGCTTGCTCTAGTGATAGAGGAAGCCAAGGTTCCCCACCTGCCGCGGCCCAGCTCTGAGCTCCAAAAGCAACAAAGTTTCAATTATAGAAGCTAAACAAATCCCACATACCTGCTTTCAGCAGGCTGTAGCCTCAGAGCTGGGAGCAAGCAGGAGCCAGCTCTCAGCTCCAGTGATGGCAACAAAGTTTCAATTATAGAAGGTAAATAAATCCCAGAATTTAAAAAAAAGAAGAAAAGGAAAGGCTGGAGTTTCAGTCACCAGCCAGACTGAAAACGGCTCTCAGCCACTCACCCAGACTGGCCAGGCACCCCAGTGGGGACCCCCACCCTGAAGGGGGTGTGGCCAGCCTAAAAACAGCCATCATCCTCTCATCCAGGCTGGCCAGGCACCCAAGCGGAACCCCCACCCTGATCTGGGACATCCTTCAGGGCAAACCAGCCAGCCCCCACCCGTGCACCAGGCCTCTGTCCTATATAGTAAAAAGGTAATATGCAAATTGACCCTAACAGCAGAAAGACTGGGAATGACTGGTCACTATGACACACACTGACCACCAGGGGGCAGATGCTCAATGCAGGAACTGCCCTCTGGTGGTCAGTGCGCTCCCACGTGGGGGAGCTCTGCTCAGCCACAAGCCAGTACAGCAGTGGTGGTGGGAGCCTCTCCTGCCTCCTCAGCAGCACTAAGGATGTCCAACTGCAGCTTAGGTCTGCTCCCCGCTGGCAAGTGGACATCCCCCAAGGGCTGGCGGGCTGCCAGAGGGATGTCTGATTGCCAGCTTAGGCCCAATCCCCAGGGGAGCAGGCCTAAGCCAGCAGGTGGTCATCCCCCGAGGGGTCCCAGACTGCCTGCGAGAGGGCACAGGCCGGGTTGAGGGACCTCCCCTCCCCAAGTGCACAAATTTTTGTGCACCGGGCCTCTAGTGTTACTTATAAAATCAGAAGAGCAATCAGTATTATTATTATGAATAGTATTATCTGCATAGCACAGAATTGTCTACATAGCACAGAATCCCAAGCAATGTAGACACATCTATCTAATAATAGGGTAATATGCAAATTAGTTGGGACACCATCATGTAATGACCGATCAGCAGGCTGCGTGCGCAGAAGGAGTGGGTGGATGGGGACTTGCAACATTGGTGGGCGGAGACTTGCACCACCTGGGGATATGAGGCTCACGTCCCCGACCCTGGCAATGGGCCCTGGGATGTGAGGCTCGCGTCCCCGCTCCCTGCAAAGGGAAAAATAGCAATCTTAAAATATTTCCTCTAATTAATTCCCTTTTAATGTGCACAAATTTCATGCACCAGGAAACTAGTACTGGAGTAAAGCAGAGCACTTCTTCAGGATCTAAATAACTGAATAGCTGTTGATCCCAGAAATTCCTTGAGCTTCTCTGTGATGTAAATTTTGGTTTCTCTCTTAATGAGTCAGGCTTTTAGATAACAACTTGATAACCTCTGTCCAAGGAGGCCAGTATGGGGAGAGTAGGATGTGGTGAAGGGTTAGGGGTAGTGGGCAAGGTCAGAGACAGTTGGTCCTGCTGAGAAGCCTGAATTTTGATGTGTGATGGAAAAGCACAGGGTGGTTTTGAGCTAGAAAAGAATTGTGATTTCTTTTCTAAATATATTTTTATTGATTTCAGAGAGGAAGAGAGAGGGAGGGAGAGATAGAAACATCAATGATGAGAGAGAATCATTAATAGGCTGCCTCCTGCACGCCCCCTAATAGGGATCAAACCCACAACCCAGGCATGTGCCCTTGACTGAAATTGAACTCAGGACCCTTCAGTCAGCAGGCCGATGCGCTATCCACTGGGCCAAACCAGCTAGGGCAAGAATTGTGATCTTTATGTTTTCAAAAGATCACTCTGCTGCATTGAGAGTATTCTGTAGGGGCCAAGAATAGAAGCAAGGTTTCTGTTAGAAGCGGCTACATGAAGAAAGGTATGATGTACCAGAGGTGGAGCTGACCACCTGTAAAAAGATATTATTGGCCAAATGGGACCCTTGTTTGGATTCTGGTCTCTTCACATGTTGCTCTGTGGACAGTAGGTGCACTGTAATTCACTAGTGCTTATGAATTGTCCACATAAAAGACTTTACCTGTGCTGCTGTAGAAGGCCAATCCACTGGATGCAATGAACTCCAGTGAAGAACGAGAAAGGGAAATATGCTTATCGGTATTTAAGCACCTGTTTCCACGTCTCCGGTAAAGCATGAGATCCTCTTCATTGTAGGCATCTGAAACAAGAATATAATATTCTTAGAATAAGCTCTTATGAGGTCTCTGTATCCTCAGTGCCTGGCCCAATGCCATGTATATGTTAGGCACCAAAACATGATTGCCAATACCCACAGCTACAAAAATAAAAAATCTCCAAAAATTAGGCCCTCATGACTACCATAGTGTGGAGGTTTTTCTTATGCCCACATGATGACTTAAAATGCTCCCATGGCTGTGTGCATTGAGTGACATCACAGCAGTGCTTCACAGTCACTGACCTGACCCCAGTCTCTAGACCTCTTTAGTTTTATCCTATATAATAAAAGCCTAATATGCAAATTTTCCCATCTATTGGGAGCCTGACCTCTCACTATAGTGTGTGATGACCACTAGGGGGCACCGTGAAATATGGCAGGCGTCGGTGACACAGCGCTGGCAATAGGGAACAGTGGAGGCGCTGCCAGCCCCAACAAACCCCGATTAGAGTGGGACTGTGACAGGATGGTGGAGCAGGCAAGCAGATGGTGCCAGGCTAAGGCGGGTGCAAGCGGGGGCCCAATTGCCCTGCAGAAGGCGACCAGTGGCTGGCAGGCTCTGACCACCAAATCCGGATTGGGCCCTGGGCTGGGACAGGGAACTGGGGGTGAGTGGTGGTGACCAACCTCCCATGGCACCCAGGCAGCGGGCTGCGACCTCCTGGTGGCTACCTGGGGGCAGAGGTGACAGAACAGAGGTGCAGTGAGAATGTGGGGTGTCCACAGAGCTCGATCTCACTCCCCCTGTAACCTTCCCCTGAAACACCAGGCTCACATTCCGGGAAAGCCCCCACACTCAGGTACCAGGTGCCCATGAGGAGCCCGCCCCACGCCCACACAGCCTCTTCCGGGCCAGTTGGGCTCCCCATGGATTTGTGCAAGAGCCGGTCTGTGAGGCTGGCTGGGAGAGAGTGCTGCCACACTGGCTTCTGTGCAAAGTTGCTGGGCAGCCCAGAGACCCACACTGTGCCCCAGCCCGCAGCGTCTAGCCACGCACACCACATCTTCTCATGGGGACTCGGGCGCCATGACTCAGGCAGAGGGGGGGCACGTGGGGCCCCAGGTGCAGCCCAGGGCGCAGAGGTCAGCTGGGATCTGCCTTTCCTCACCAGACGCTCATGCTTCAATCTCGGGCCAGGCCTAGAGACTGTGCCCATGCATAAATTTTATGCACCAGGCCTCTAGTCCTATCTAATAATAGAGAAACATGGTAATTAACCGTCACTTTGCTACCCTTCCCATTGGCTAATCAGGGCGATATGCAAATTAACTGCCAACCAAGATGGCAGCCAGCAGCCAGGCAGCTGAAGCGAACAGGAGG